AAAACACCCCTCCATGAAAAAGTATAGGGGGTGCAACACTTTTTTTACTGTGTATATGTATTTCATTCAACTTTATCTTTATTACCTGTTTCTTTATCTCCTGCTATAATCTCACTAATCTGAACCTGTCTAAACCGGACTGATTGTTCAGTCCCCTCAGCTCCGGTTTAGTGATTGCCGCATAGTGGTAAATTTGAGGAAAGACGGTATCCATCGACACATGTTGTTGGTTCATTCTGTTTCAGATACGTACGACGCAATTACGATTTGCGGACTGAACGTTCCAGTTTTGAAGAAGCTGCCCATCGAGGCTTACGAAGAAATGATCAGGGTTGTCAAAAAAGGTAGGTGCATGCAAAATTTGTTATGTTCTCGTTCTCGAACCACTATTTTGCCTTTCCCGTCCAATGAAATTTCGACAGATAATTGAGACCAATTGTTCACTGGCGTTGACCTTTTTTATGTTGTTGTTGGTTTGTTGTTAAACGCCACTCTCAGCAATATTCCAGCTATATGACAGCGGTCTGTAAATAATCGAGTCTGGACCAAACAATCCAGTGATTAATATCATGAGCATCGATCCAGGCAATTGGGATCGATGAAATGCATCAACCAAGTCAGCGAGCCTGACCACCCGATCCCTTTAGTCGCCTCTTATGACAAGCATAGTCGCCATGTACGGCAAGCACGGGTTGCTGAAGACCAGTTCTACCCGGATCTTCACGGGTCCATGTAATAATGCTGGTGGTTACTGAAGACCATTTCTACCCCGGATCTTCACGGGTCCATGTGATAATGCTGGTGGACTTTCTTGCTGATGCGGTCACGGCCAAAGGACAAAGTCATTTTTCTGGAACGAATTATTCAATTGTTAAATAGGTCCCACCCAAAACCCGCCGACTATTAAATTGTCTGTCCCTCAATATTTTTCAAGTAATATAATATTGGAATATTTTTGTCATCCCTTCCTGAAAAAGAACTTGTTATCTGGCAAAGTAATATTTGTGGAAAAAAATATTGTTCCGCCCACCCACCCGCCGGATATGAAATGGTCTGTCGCTATATTATTGTAAAAGTAGTATAATATTGGAATATTTCTGTTATCTGTACCTGAAACATGAATTACCTGGACAAATATGAAAGGATAAAATCCATGTAACAAAAATGAGAATGTACTCTGAATCATTGGTTGCTGAAGTTTGCCGACATATTGTATCACTATTTAGACAACTCGAATCAGATACTCAGTTGGCACTATCTGTTGTTTTTCTTCCAGGAGGATATATCATTTGGGCCAGTTTCGACAACGTGTTTACTGATGACGACCCTGAACTGGCAGATAGGAGAAAACACGTCAGGACTTTGGAAGCACAGGGAAAGTGGAAACATGTGGAACTTCGGTATTTCAAAAATTATTTGCGAGGAAGTAACGGTGGTGTTTCAGTCCATCAGATCTGCTAGTTGTTCCACTCCATAGGTATTCATAAATGTTTTGGCTGCGCTATGGCAATGAAATAAAACACATTTCCACTACGCACCCATACAGTTTATATATGAACAACTGCAAGGCATTATTCATTCATGTTCAACACTCATTGCATTCGCTAAACAATGACGTCACCTGTTTGTCGCTCAGCCCAATATAGACTCAGTTCCCGTAGAGCTTGTTGTATGCTGTTGTATCTTTAGTCATTAATTGTTAACTGCTCACCTTACTTAAGTGAAGCCTAACAGTACAATGCAATGTTAGCCGCCAATAACTGAAACAATTGTGCTTCAATAAAACAAATGAAAGCATTGTTTGCACTTTTTTATTTACTGATTAAGTTTGTTTTACTGCGACCTACTAAGTTACAAAAATGACCAGTTTATTTGCTATTATTGTTACGGCATTTATAAAAAAATCTTTCAAATGTTGTAGCGAAAAAAGGGTGTGGGACACACGTTTTCGTGAGTAAAAATCCATTTTAATTAAATTTGTTACACGATGACCGAAGTTACCAAAACTGACAAGTCAGTTGAGGTTCTTCGGGACGAAAAAACCTTTCGTAAACATCACTGGTTCTCCCTCAAAGTTGAAACACTAGACTGGACAAGACTAAATATAAGATAATAAACCAACCATTGCCTCATTAAAAATATATCTAATGTAACATTTAGCTCACCTAACTGAAAGTTGGCTTATGTCTTGGTCTGTTCTCCGGCGTCTGTCTTCCGCCATGCGTCGTAAACATCTTCTCCTCAGAAAGTCAAACCACCAGATGCATGAAACTGAAACTTCACAACCTTGTTCCCAGCAATGATCACACCCTACAACAGGGTGCGGACGGTAGGATTGCTTTGTATGCTGTTTGCTGAGCTATATGTGCGCACATTTGCAAAGCAGCTTGTGGGTCATTACATGTGCTTGAGCAAAGGGGGGTAATTCTCGGCCTAAACTAAAGGTAGCGCCTCCCCTGAAAATTATATTATCAAACCATAATATATATTAACTTGAATCCCACGATAAAGATGTTTCATGTCGATTTACAAATTGAAACTGGAAGTAAACACAAACATGTATATACGCAAAAACATCAGTGTGAAACCAACAAGCGGCAAAGTCATGTTATAATATCAACAATTGTGTTTCAAAATTAACCCCGTATACAAATCAAGACAAATTACTGCTGAGCAATTACAGTGGCAGTACACAATGGAGAGGCAGTATAAAATACAATGGCAGCGGTAATAGCGAAATGTCGGTGATAACAATTCACCTATCAGCAACGGCCAAGCATCCAAAATAGGCCAAGACTGGATATCCAGGGTGAAAACAATGACCGCTGGTCTTGATGTAATCTGAGATGTGAGATGAGTGAGGCACGCACTTGCCCACTTACATAGTCTAAATCCCGTTTGGAAGGTTCTATACAGTACTGGATTAGTCTAGTTTTTCTAGAAGTTTCCAGACGACACTTGACTCCAAAATGCATCTAAATATAGTAACGTCCGCACCACTGCTTACCTTAGATAGTACTACATTCCTGACAACTACCACTGCCAAAACACAACACTCTGAACCTCTCCTGAATCCGAACAGAACCAATGTATTACAATTGTAACATTGTATAACAATAAATAACAGCGCCATATAACAATATGGAAACAGATACTGCATTATCTTCTGAAGAGGAATCTGCATACAGTGTTGAATCTTGGCCACGATTTTGAGTTGATGGAGACCCCTCAAATCAACTCCTTCAGAGTTTCAAAATCTGTTGAAAGCATATGTAGGCGACATTAAAAATGTCATCCGTCTCCAGTCTGCTTCCTTGCTTTTGGAATGTGCAAAGAGACAGTTATCTCTAAATCTGCTTAAATCACACCAGTTCGAAAATACTAATATTGTTGTCTCAGTGCACAAAACCTTCAAATCATGTAGAGGCATTGTACGTGGCCGTGCAAAGTGCCTTTCAGACATATATATCAGCAGAGGCAAAGCCCTAAGGTGTAACATCTGTGAAACAATTTACGAGAAAAATGATGAAACTTAAATCAAATACCTTACATTGGCATTAACAAAACTCCCTTCATCAATCAAAGCCAGATATTTCACTATCGGATGTGTAAGTGCCAATTCACACAGTTGTTTTATTACTCTGTATGCATAGGACCCATGAAAATCCGGGGTAGAATAGGTGTTTAGCAACCCATGCTTGCCGTAAAAAGCGACTGTGCTTGTCGTAAGAGGCGACTAACGGGATCGGGTGCTCTTGGTTGATACATGTCATCGATCCCACATTGCGAGGATCGATGCTCATGATATCAGTCACTGGATTGTCTGGTCCAGATTCGATTATTTACTGAAATATTGCTGAATGTGGGGTTAGACAACAAACAAACCAACCAACCAACCAACTGTATGCATAGGTCTAAACATAAAACACATATGGCAGTTTCATGGGTCGCTTTTATGTCTAGTTCAGGTGGGTTAATCAGTGGAAGGGAATACTGACTACTTGACCATTATTGAACGATATCAGATCATCAGTTATGGAAATGGCATCTTTCCGGGGCAAGAGATTTAACAGACTATAATAGTCCAGTTTCCACCCTTGCCGAACTAGGTTGGAATGCCTGGGTAGCCTAGTGGTTAAAGCGTTCGCTCGTCACGCCGAAGACCCGGGTTCGATTCCCGACATGGGTACAATGTGTGAAGCCCATTTCTGGTGTCCCCCGCCGTGATATTGCTGGAATATTGCTAAAAGCGGCGTAAAACCATACTCACTCACTCACTCCTATGGACCAATCAGATTCCACCTCTCGTATCACTTGCATTTGCTTCAAACAAAACGTCGGCGCCCAGTCAAGACGATCTGGTCGATAATCAAGATCTATATTGTCATAAAACGGGTCTTACATCGCGAAGTGCATCAAAACAACTGAGCACCTTGATAAGAAACATGAAAAGATTGGGAAAATAACTGTTGACAACGAGTTCCCAGTGCACATGCTTTGTAAATCCTGCAATCGACCGAAATCTGCACGACGGTTTATGAACCGGATTTCGATTTCGTTGCGCGATTGTGATTGGACTACGCATAGACTCGTTAGTCCAGCCAAAATGTAACTCCATAATACCAGCTTTGTTCGGCAAGGGTTGTAACTGGACTTTTATAGTCAGTTAACTCCCTTGCTTTGGGAAGATGTTGAAAACAGATATTTTCACAAACTTTTCATGTTTTTTATCAAGGTGCTCACCTGATTTGATGCACTTCGCGATGTATGACCCGTTTTATCATAACATAGATCAACAATGGACTCTGCTTATAGTCGGAGTCGTTCAATGGACTCTGCTTATAGTTAGAGTCATACAATGGACTCTGCTTCTAATCGGAGTCGCACAATGGACTCTGCTTATAGTCGGAGTCGTACAATGGACTCTGCTTGTAGTCGGAGTCGTACATTGGACTCTGCTTATAGTCGGAGTCGTACAATGGACTTTGCTTATAGTCGTAGTCGTACAATGGACTCTGCTTATAGTCGGAGTCGTACAATGGACGCTGCTTATAGTCGGAGTCGTACGATGGACTCTGCTTTTAATCGGAGTCGTACAATGGACTTGGGGGAACTGTGTAACACACAAATCTATTCCAATGATGCTGAAATGAAAGTCCTACACGAAGACCCGGTCTCCTGAGAGATGCTGCTTTGCATATAATCTTCTTAAGTTAGTGAGGAGTATTCAGGTATGTGAGAAGTGTACAGTCATGTAGGGTGTATCCAGTGAATGCAGAAGGCTTTTCACAGAGGGTGGCCAGAAGGCAACAGATACAATTTCATCCAGTGGACCGCTGCTTGATCACACTAGGCTTTAACAACACCTTTTCCGGTGACAAGTGGACGTCTCGCCGGAAGTATTGCAATGTCTGGGGTCCAGCATGCGATGACGTCACTAAATCCACACAAGTCGTTTTTTTGACGTCATGTGACTCCAATTTGTGCAGGTTTTACAAGTCAGTCAGTGACCAATCAAATAGCTTGATTCTATTCTGAGTAATGAAAATTAATAAAATGTTTCAGGAAATGGTTTTAGTACCATCATCATGCCTTCTGATTTAATAGATTGAATCGTATATGTTCAGCTAAGACATTAAAGTAGTTGAAATCAAATGTTGCATTACTTTTGTGTCTTGAGTATATTTAATCTAGTTCAATGTATACCAGGTGCCAAATGAATATTATTCACTGTGTTTCTAGTCTTTAATATCATTCTTTGCTGCAATGACCGTTATGAGGAACGTGCAACACCGAAGCCAAAATTGAGATGAATGTCGCCAATGAACCCATTAATCAAATTGCTCTACAATAATTTTCCAAGGTTGATGATGATGTTTTTTAAGGTGTTTGGTGAGACGCTTCTATGTCATTTCACATTTAAATGTGCTTGTAATACTTAGTGTCGAGTTATCGACAGTTTCTACGGTCGTTCAAACACAGCAAGGAAAAAAATACCACTGTGCTGTCAGAACACGTTGTTCTGCTCAAGTGCAAATGCATGGTTAGCTTTATAATTTCCACGTGTTCTGTATACCCGTCTCAGCTCAAGGACGCTTGTTGTTCCAAACGTCTCAGCTCAAGGACGCTTGTTGTTCCAAACCTGTATTTCTTGTCGAGACACGTCGCTTTATGGCTTGAACAATGAGATGCAACGTTGAATTTGAAATCACTTGATGATTCAAGCTCAGTCACACGATCATCACAAGCTCAGTCTCAAGAATACCACAAGCTCATTCACTCGACTGCCACAAGCTCAGTCACAAGATTACCACAAGCTTATTCACGGATACTTTCAGTCCGCAATGAGTCAGGAATTTTCTACAGACGCCACCGAGGAACAGAAAGCTGTGGCTCGTGACCACTGGTCAAAAACCGTTGATGGCAATTTAGACAACCAAACCCTGTACGATCGGTTCTCCGAGTCGGCAAAGGATTATGACGAGGTATGTCTGTCTGTCTGTCTGTCTTAGTAGTAGTTTCTAGTAATAGTTGTATAGAAATAATGAATGAACTGGAAACACGTTGCAACCGGTGGTGAAGTATGACAGTAGATGTTATGACGCCAACGATCTAGAAGGACGATAGGGGTAACTTAGAAAATTTCAAACTTGACAGTTTGGGATCATTGGTGCACAATACCGCCACATTTTGTCAAACATTCATTCACTCGACGTAAAAGTCTCCCCATGGCGATTTGAGGTAGTCCGTCCCACTTCTCTTGTAAAGCCGGGGCAAGTTCTGACTATTAAAGTCCAGTTTCCCTCCTTGCCGAACAAGGCTGGTATTATGGACTTACATTTTGACTGGACTAACGAGTCTATGCATAGTCAAATCACAATCGGGGAACGAAATCGAAATCCGGTCCGTAAACTGTCATGCAGATTTCAATTGATTGCAAAGTATGTGCACTGCGAACATTGTCAACAGATATTTTCACAAACTTTTCATGATTTTAATCAAGGTGCTCACGTGATTTGATGACCTTCGCGATGTAAGACCCGTTTTATCACAACATAGATCTTGATTAATGGTCGGATCGTCTTGATTGGGCGCCGCCCTTTTGTTTGAAGCAAATGCAAGTGATACGAGAGGTGGAATCTGATTGCTCCACAGGGGAGGAATAGGAGGGACATAACTCGTATTAGCCACTGGTGGTGCTACGATCAAGCCCAGGAAAATAGTTTGGCAGGGGTGGAAACTGGACATTTATAGTCAGTTAACTCCCTTGACTCGGGAAGATGGATGCATTATTATATTCAAGTATTTTCTAGGACAATGGAATTGATCAAAAGTAATATGAATATACTGTGTGCATAAAAATTCACGATCCTTAACGTTTTTGTTTTGTACATATCAATAATGTAAGAAAACATGAGGACGTACGTTTCCTCCAACGTGATTCATCATGACCCCAGCGCCAAGGATTAGTCAACACCGCAGTCTCAACTCAATGCAGTTTATTCTGCAACCATAACATCAACATACCAACCGGAAGTGGCGGTTCAACCAAAAGTTGGAATAAACAAAAGCGAACACGGACGCGTGTAGTTGCGCAGGTATACTGTGAACTTGTGGTGAGCTCTTTCCAACTGTCACATGTTGGTTTATTTCGTGTTTCACAGGTAATAACAGTCCTCAATTCCCAGGGTCAAAAGGAACTGGCGACAACGACGGCCGAACGGTTTCCTAGGAACAGAGAAAATGTCAGAATTTTGGATTTAGCAGCTGGCACTGGGAAGTGTTCAGTCGAGGTAAGAAGAAAATACGAAGTATCGCAGTTTTAATTTACATTTGGATACTCATTTTACACTCGGTTACTACTCCTCCATTGATTTAATTATAGTCTATTTCACTGACTAAAGAATACCTTGATATCTTGGTTATTAAACCAAAATGTCTTGAGGTTGGACCTCTGTGAAACCTTGACCTTGACCAAGATCCCAAACTGATGCGATCGAGACCATGTGTATTAAGTTCGGTCAAATTCCAATCATGAATACTCAAGTTATCGTATGTGGATATAATGTGTGAAGCTCATTTTGGATGTCCCCCGACGTGATGTTGCTGAAATATTGCTAACAGCGGCGTAAAACCATACTCACTCACTCACATAGGTATTTAGATCACAGAACGATGAATTTGGGAGAAGTCATTTGTCCTTTAGAGTGTCCGGCTTTTCGTGATCACTGAATGGCGCGAAAAGTTTCGGTCACGTGTTAACACCATTGCAGGAGTTTAGTTCACTTACTTATTAACCATCATGTTCAAACATTTGGTGCGCCGTCTAAGACGTCTTGCGTCTCTTGGGTGTAGGAGAAACCTACGATCGTGGGTAAAAAATCCCAGATTCGCCATGATTATTTTTTCCAGGTTCGTCATCACTATACCCATGTTTCACAAAAGTGTCAAATAAAAGTGATGCAAGTCATTCCCTTAATCATAAGAAATCACCACTTTACGATTTCCCATCGTAAGCAGAGTCCATTGTACGACTCAGACTATGAGCAAAGTCAGTAGTGTATCATTGCACCCTAGCCCATAAGCAAGCAGGAGTTAACTCCCCTTACCAGAAGTGAGTCAACTATTCGCCCCACTCCTCCGATGGTGAAGACATCGTCCCTGAATCCACTATGTGTATCATAACACCTTTCCTCCTCCGAGGGATGGAGCCGGGGTGCTCGCACAAACAGCCTTGGTAGTTCGCTGTTAACGGGGGAACCTTTCCTTCTCCAAGGGATGGTGCCGGAATGCTCTGACGAGCAGCCTTGGTGGACCACTGTTGACAGGGAGCCTTTCCTCCTCCGGGGGATGGAGCCAGGGGGCTCTTACTATGAGCCTTTCCTCCGGGGAATGTAGCCGGTTTGAATGTAGCCGGGGTGGATGATTGTTGGGAAAAAATCAGGGTGCGTCTCCCTCATCGGATCATGTGTGCAGGACCAAGCCACCACAATAGACTACCGCATCATCTACCCCAAGCGTAGGTGTGGTGGTGGTGCTTGAAGAAACATGGCAAATTCTACAAGCCACCAAACAACATTATCGTCAGACTCTTCACACCCCTCTCTTGGAAAAGAAACGTCTCCAAAATTTGGAAGAGATGGACACGTTGATGCAGAGGTCACAGCAGCCTTTTCACATGCGGGAACAAGAATACAACCAACTGTTGCAACACATGCTAGAATTGCAGCGCCAACAGCACAACACCACCACCACCAAACCACACCAACCCAAAGTGACACCACCACCACCATCAACGATGGGCACAACAGGTAGACCTGCCCCACCTCAACAAGTGATAGACGAAGTGGTCATGAGTGTTCCTAAAACCATGACCAGTAAAGCCATAAATTTGATGACAAGGATTCAAAACAATCCCGCCTTGAATTGGACTCCTGAGGGAACCCTGACCGTTGAAGGGAAACTTGTCCCTAGCACACACATGTCAGACTTGATCAACAATTTAGTGCATCACCAAAAAACAAAAAGGGGCCTGCAGGTTGGACCATTTTGAGTCACCATTTGGCCAACAGTCATGTTCCCCATGAAATGATTGGAAATCCTCAACGATGGCAATGGATGCAGGAGCAGCAGCAACAACAACAACACTCAACAACAACAACACTCAACACAAAGAACACCCAACAACCAGTTTCCCCTTCCCCACGTTCTGCCCGCAAAGTCCCAAAAAGAGAACAAAAAGAGACGCTCCTTTCCAAGAGACCACTATCGTGTGGGAGGCGTCGATGAATTTTGGCAAGCAGACTTGAGTGACATGATTGCCTTTCAAGACGACAACAAAGGGTTCAAATATCTGCTGTGTGTGATTGATGTGTTTTCAAAGATGGCATGGGTGCAACCCCTGAAGACCAAGTGCAGTTCTGCTTTGACGGAAGGTTTTCAAACCTTGCTGATGCAACAAGCCAAAGGTCGACCACCTGCAAACCGACAAAGGCAAAGAATTTGTCAACCCCACTTTCAGAGATCTCATTATAAAGAACGGCATTCATTTCTAAACCAGTCAAAATCCTGAAACTAAAGCAGCCATTGAGGAACGGTTTCAAAGGACTCTGAAAAATAAAATGTGGGGATACTTCACTCAGCATGGGACCAGACACTATTTGAAAGTCTTACCCCAGATGGTCAAGTCATACAACCGTCATGTGCAATCTCATTAAAATCAGATCTTAGTTCTCGCTACCGCTTAACAAAGATCTGAGGACATCCCGTTAGGGGTCACGTCAGGACGACCTTCATCCGAAAAACAGAGTGTCGCTTACCAGATCATGAAAGTGACAGTCGGAATGTGATTTTTAATCATGCAGCTTCGAAAACTTTAAAACGGGGTATTCTGAACGATAGTTACGGGCTTAACGACTGAATCCATACAATCTGTACCATATCTTAGCCATAAGAGAATGTTCTTTTGTTCAGGTTTCAAATTTTTAAGCGAGAACTTGTCAAAATATGTTTCGAAGTGTAGTCGCCAATTTGCAATAAGTGCCTTAAAGCATGAGAAAGTTGCCTTCTGATTAGCTAATGTCTTTTCGTCGGTCAGAGTTCATGAAAGGTCGGTCTAACGTGAGAACTAAGAGTTGATTTTAAGAGATTGCCGGCGTGTCAGAAATTCGGGTGTTAGACTTCATGGAGGAACAACAACAACGAAACCCTTCTGAGTTATGATGCAGGAGCCAAAACATCTCACCTTCAATGTCCTGGATGGTTTACCGATAGTGCTGGTAAAATGGACGCCTTTAATCTTGATGCAAATGCTGATGTAAGAAACACGGGCGTCAGAACTCGACGTGATCTTATCGTGCCCACCAAAGAAGTGGAACTCACAGGGCGTCTACACTGTGACCTGTTTCTTCAAGACTGTTATCTGCAAGATGGTGTCCCTATGAAACTGGAATTGCTTTGAAGTCCCGATGTATTATTCTTCATGTGTGCTGCTGATGGTGTCTACAAAATAGCCGTGACCAAAGCCGAATTTTATGTTCGTCAACTCATCATAGATCCTGCTGTCCAAGAAAAACATGTGTCCAGTCTGAACGCAGGGGTGACTGCCAAGTATCCCCTTTCCCGTATGCAAGTGACAGCCCGTGACATCCCGAACGGAGGTTGAAACTTTCACAAGGATCAGGATCAACTTCAAACACAACCATGTCACCATGATGAAGCTGAAACTCAATGGACAGGAAGTCCATGAAACGGAAATGAAAAGCGACTTCAGCAACAACAGCGCCCATTTGAAACAAGTCTTCATGAATCTGTTCCAGAACACTGGACAGCTGTGGCGGCCTGAGACCTGTGAGGTGTCTCTCAAGGCCTTTACTCAAGGTTGCACCTTGTGGGTGGTGGATCTCACACCAGACCTTGGCACTGATGAAGGCATCAACTATCCTTGACACACTGGCAAGTTGGGTTTGGAAATCCAGTTTGGACAAGCTCTCAAGACCCCGGTCACCCTCTTCTGCTATGAGGAATACAAAAATATTCTGGAAATAGATCGTTTACATAATGGTGTAAAAAGAGCAAAGACAGACGGTCATGTCACACTTCCTTCACTGAATCTACGTTCACCTTACTGACAAAGTTCCTGTTCACTGAGTTTTATGAGTGTACATACGTTCACTGAGTTTTATGAGTGTACATACGTTCACCCCACTGACAAAGTACCTGTTCACTGGTTTTATGAGTGTACATACCTTCACACCTTCACACCCTAGTTGCAAATGTTTTCCTGTTCACAAAAATCACAGCGACGCCCCTTATCCTGTGGCTTTTGTTTTGTGTCTTGGTTCATGTGAGCTGTGGAATTAAAAAGTTGAAAAAAAAATGTGTTGTGTTGTCTTTAGGATGTGGATTGACATGCACATCCTAGAAAAAACAGGATCGAAAATCAACCAATCAGAAGCTTGGGTTTTCGACCAATCAGAGACGGCACACGCCCTGTGCGGGTCTCTGATTGGTCGAACAGCAGTTGTGCTTTCTCTCCAATGGACCATGCCTGTTCCTATGGAAAAGAAACACAAGGGTCGGGCCTGTTTGGAAAAAAACAAGGCTCAGGCCAGGCACCGGGACGGACCAATCCGCAAACTGCGTGTCGGCCCAATCAGGGCCCAGCGTGTTGGACCAATCAGCGGGCATCTGGTCCCTCTCCTATAAACAGAGAGCAAAAACTCGAGAGGGTTCAGTTTCAATTATTAAAAAATATCATCGCATTGAGAATGGCAGAGACGAAGAGCTGTATGGATGCTTGTGAGGGGACCGTGGTAACTGATAGTACAGATGCTTGTGGACCAGGATTCTTCTGGAGACTGATAGTACGGAATCTTGCAGGGCCCAGAGATCTGACAGTACGGATTCTTATGATGGTAGGACGCCGCCCAGTAAGCCCTTGTCGCCCCATCAACACTTTGAAAGAAGACTAGCCTCGTTTGAGGCGAGGCCGATGCAGATGAGCCACACCACTGCATAGATGGCCCATGCGGGCTAAATGTACACGAAAAGTACCGATAGCATGAACTGCTTTCATTGCAGCCTGCGGCTTAGAAGATTGGCGTCCCACGACGATCCTTGGGTGGAACACCTCAAGTGGTCCCCTGACTGTGCCTACCTCGAGCTGACGGGGGTGGTGAGGCACAAGAACGTAGCAGCTACTCTCTTGCACTATTTGTGCGAGAATGCGAATCAGAGCAACGTGAATGAAGAAGATTTCCCACCTTCCAAGAGTGAAGTTCCGGTTCCAGCTCCATTCCGTTCCGTTCCCGTTCCAGTTCCCGTTCCCGTTCCAGTGTTGGTGGGTTTTCTTCTCCAAACGGCCCTTTTCAGGGCCACCCAACTCTCCTGAAAGAAACGCTTTGATCATTGCCAAACACAAACAACCCAACCTCAAAAGAACCCCCACACCCTCCTCACCTCCCCCGCCGCCATCTTTGATGCATGCGCGCACACGCCCTCTCCCGGAACCGGAAGTGCCGCCCTCTTGGAGGCTCACGCCTTCCGGAATCGGACGTGACGTTACCTTGGAGGCACACGCCTCCCGGAACCGGACGTGGCGCGCGCTTCCGGTAGGGAGGTAAAGGGAGATAACTCCTGCTGGCTTACGGGCTAGGGTTCTGTGTTACACTACTAGAGTCCATTGTACGACTCGTGTTGTAAGCAGAGTCCATTGAACGACTCCGACTAGAAGCATGTGTTTTTTTAATCATTATCGCATCATTTTTATTCCATACGTTTGAGGAATTGTCCATCTTGAATCAGTGTATATTTATTTTGTTTCTATTAGCTTCGAAAACATGGATTCAGGAAAATAGACGCTTTGGATGCAAGTGAGGGGATGTTGAATGTAGCCAGAGAGAAAGGGCTATACGACCGTTACACAGTTGGAGAAATAGGCGACAACACTTTGGATGCAGCCACAGGTGAATGAGTGAATGGGTGTGAGTGAATGCTGTTTAACGCAGCAATGAAAATATATTACACAACTATCACAACCTATACATATTTGTGTGGACCAGGCAGACGTATTTGGGACGAGTCGTGCCATCGGTGTACAATGATATATACAGAGCCAAGTCACCGACATTGTAAAGTAAATTTCTTATCTGTTCTTATCTTATCTATTTCTTACATTTTTCTTTCCGAAATCCCAGGCTACACACTGTTTCAAACAGCCAGTATGTCTAGCCAACGCTGTAAGGTCTTTGGTATTGTTTGGTATAATGATTTTTTCTGGAACAAATTTGTCAACCACATCCATCATTTGGAACAACTGCTTTTGCTAGTTTGATGTCTTTTACCGCAGTCGATCTCACCCCGAGTGACGTCACATCATGCATGACGTCACAGCTTGACAGCCCACGACAGCAGTATTGAAACAGCTATTCTTGACCATTAATCAGCCATTCATTTCCATGTGGAGTTGGGATCAACATAATCATGGTTTACATTTTGCGATAATTTAATTTTTACTCTTTGATCAGGCTCCGAAATTCTCACAAAATACACTTCACACACCCTCCAGAAACCACGTGACTAATGTAGCTGAAATTGCACTTGTTTGTTCCCAGTAATAATAGTGAGTGAGTGAGTTGGGTTTAACGCCGCTTTTAACAGTATTCCAGTTGTATAATCTTGACAGCTTGATGCTGGTCCAAGACGTTTACTTGTTCTCCCCTATTATATTTCGAGGTTTGTCAACACCATACCCATGCTCGTAGATTTCACCTAAGTGGTAAACGTCTGAGACCTGCATCATTCGGGCTTTCCTCCCACATGAAGCTGACACGCCGTGATATAACTGGAATACTGTTTAAAGCGGTGAAAAGCCCAACTCACTCAGTCAGCACATAAACGCCTTCGTAAAGAGAAGCCAACGTAAAGGGAAAGGTGCTGACAAACAACGGTTCACGGTCAGGTAGAAACCAGGGCTTCGAACCCACTCTCAGTTGATCATAGTACAACTAAGGGACGCAACTCTGCAACGTGAATTCCGGCGCCCTAAACCACCACGCCATCCTCCCGGCCCAGTGTCACATGTACAGTGGAATTCGGATTTCTGTCCATTAACTTACTTAAATATGTATTTCATTCAACTTTATCTTTATTACCTGTTTCTTTATCTCCTGCTATAATCTAACTAATCCGAACCTGTCTAAACCGGACTAATTGTTCAGTCCCCTCAGCTCCGGTTTAGTGATTGCCGCATAGTGGTAAATGTGAGGAGAGACGGTATCCATCGACACATGTTGTTGGTTCATTCTGTTTCAGATGCGTACGACGCAATTACGAGTTCCGTGCTGAACGTTCTAGTTTTGAAGAAGCTGCCCATCAAGGCATACGAAGAAATGATCAGGGTTGTCAAAAAAGGTGGGTGCTTGCACATACCATGAACATTTTTTATGTTCGCGACCCACTATTTTGCCTTTCCAGTCCAATGAAACTTCGACAGATAATTGAGACAAATTGTTCACTGTCGTTGACGTTTTATATGTTATTGTTGGTTTGTTGTTTAACGCCGCACTCAGCAATATTCCAGCAATATGAAAGCGGTCTGTAAATAATCGAGTCTGGACAAGACAATCCAGTGATTAATATCATGAGCATCGATCCACACAATTGGGATACGATGACATGCATCAATCAAGTCACCGAGCCTGACCACCCGATCCCTTTAGCTGCCTTTTGTACTCTGAATCATTGGTTGATGAAGTTTGCCGACATATTGTATCACTATTTATCACTAACTCGAATCAGATACACAGTTGGCGCTTTCTGTTGTTTTTCTTCCAGGAGGATATGTTATTTGGGCCAGTTACGACAACGGGTTTACTGATGACAACCCTGAACTGGCAGATAGGAGAAAACACGTCAGGACTTTGGAAGCACAGGGAAAGTGGAAACATGTTGAACTTCGGTATTTCAGAAATTTTGTGCGAGGAAAAGACGGTGGTGTTTCAGTCCATCAGATCTGCTAGTTGCTCCACTCCATAGGTATTCATTGATATTTTGGCTGCGCTATTGCAATGAAATAAAACACATTTCCACGCATTATTCATTCATATTCAACACTCATTTCATTCACTGAACAATGACGTCACCTCTTTGTCGCTCAGCCCTATATAGACATGTGTCAGTTCCAGCAGAGCTTGTTGTATGCTCAACATTCTGAATCTTAAGTAATAACCTGCTTACCTTATGTAGGTGAAGCCTAACTGTATAATGCAATGTATGGCCGCCAATAACTGAAACAATTGTGCTTCAATAAAACAAATGAAAGGCTTGTTTGCACTGTTTTATTAACTGATTCGGTTTGTTTTACTGCGACCACCAGATCCATGAAACTGAAACTTCAAAATCGTGTTCCCAACAATAATGACTCCCTACAACAGTGTTACGTGTTGATTCCCAAATTGAAGGTTAATTCAGAAATAGACCCGATTGATACAGGGTGCGGACGGTGGGATTGCTTCGTATGCTGTTTACTAAGCTATATGTGCGCACATTTGCAAAGCAGCTTGTTGGTCATTACGTGTGCTTGAGCAAAGGGAGGTAACTCTCGGCCTAAGCTATAGGCAGCACCTCCCCTAAAAATTATGTTACCAAATCAAAATATATATTTGCTTATATATCACACGAAAGAGAGGTTTCATGTCGATTTACAAATTGAAACATGTATATATATTTATCATATAATGGATAGGTTTCTCGGCAGGATAAAGCCAACGGATAAAAACGACACAGTCAATCCTTAAATGAAATGTTGCTCTTTTTGAAACAATGTAGGTTCATGATAAAAAAATTAGCTTATATAGCGGGAAAACTAAAAAGTTGCCGTTTCCACATGTTCACTGAGCGGAATCGTGCGGTTGTGTGGCTGCTTTATTTGTGAACGGTGAAGATTCATTCTTCTTTTTAATTTAAGTTCTGTCTTTCCGATATACTTTTTATTGCATCCACTACAAACAATCAAGTAAATAACATTTCTAGTATCACAAGTCATATTTTGTTTTACAGTAAATTTAGTGTCCTTTGTAATTTGGACTGAACAGCCTTCATTTATATTGCTGCAAGGTTAGGCAACGTTTGTCACCGCACTCAGTGAACATTTAAATGCAACCTGATCTTTTTCTTGATGTTCTCGACACTATAAAACCTTTCTCTGATGAACTTAATAAAATGGCTGAGGAATGTATACGGAAGTCCTCTGCAAATTCTCACATACGTAAACCATGGTTTAACAATGATTACAAGGAAGGCAAGGAAATTCCTGTGACAGTTGGACGTCTCGCCGGAAGTATTGCAATGTCTGAGGGCCAGCATGCGATGACGTCACCACATTCGTACAAGTCGTTTTGTGACGTCGTGTGACTCCAGTTTGTACCGGTTTTACAAGTCAGTCACTGACCAATCAAATTGCTTGATTCTATTCTCTGAGAAATGCTAGATTATAATATGATTCAGAAACTGTTGTTTAACACTTTTAGTACTATCATATATTCAGATATAATGAATTGAATCGAGTATGCCCAGCTAGGGCATACGGTCGTTGCAGTCAGGTGAGTCTCAGTAAATATTTCAATGTATACCAGATAAAGGTACAAAGTGAGTATTATTCACTGTATTTGAAGTCATTAATATCATTCGTTCGAGACCAGCCGAATGTAGACCCGTGCCCCTCTCGGAGGTTTCCATATTGGCACGTATGAATACGAGAACTACTTCAAACAAGAACGATAACTCGCGTCATAGTAAAATTAGTGAGTAAGTGAGTTCGGTTTTACGCCGCTTTTAGCAATATTCCAGCAATATCACGGCGGGCATAGTAAAATTAATGTAGGCGCTACAGCAGCGCTCGCTGATTCATGTAAAACCATTGAAACTCTCTGATAGCGATCTAAATATTTCTTTTCTACAAAAGTATATTTGGGAAGCCATCCAACTCATTTTTTCTATGCTGTTTATGTTTTATTTGTAAATTATTAATTTTTAATAATATATTAAAATTAGATGAAGAAAACTGACAAAAGACGAGGATGGTTTTCGAATTCCAACAATGAATTACTCAGACATGTTCAGGTATGTGTGGCAAATTTGACATTGTCTTTTTAAAGCTTGAAACGACTGAATCTCTCTTTTCATGGACAACCTTAACAAATAGTACACACATTTTATATGAATTAATTAAAAAATGTTAAAATATGGAGTAATATCATATCCATTTTGTGTAGAGATATATAGAAGTATTTCTAAATATATAAGACATAGTGAGACCATGTTAATATTCAAATCCCGAGGGATTCCCATTTCGCCTATCATTTTCGTGAGAGGCGTCACAATGCATGGGGTGGTCAGACGCGGTGACTTGCGTACCATCGTACCTCCACCACGTGGACCGTTGCTTATAATACCAATTACTGGTTTGCCTGCTGATGTCTCGATGTTGTACGAGGAGCCGTTATCGAGGTGGAATATTGCTTAGTGTGGCGTTAAACAAGAAACAAGCTTTAAAATTCAAATCTCGTTCAGAAAAGAGGACGCATTACAATCTTAACTATTGTAAAGACATGTAGCTGAGTACAAAATACGTGCTGGGTATAACATAAATTAAATTGTGAGGGAGTAACATAACTAGTATCTTACAGGTTTAATAAACCATAATATATACTACTCAAAAGAAGTTAAGGATCACCTGATTCTTTCATATTACAATAGTTAATCTCTCATTCCATGACAGATTAACATTACCAATATGAAAGAATCGGGTGATCCTTAACTTGTTTTGAGTAGTATATGTACGACATTAAGGTATTTATTACATTACAATTTCTGATCATTTTACGAGAGCTTCCTTTCATCGAGCGTTTTCTTTTACAAATTTCGAAAAACAACGTAATTTGTTCGAATCTTATATATCTTTGCGTTTATGATTTGAGGAATTCCAACTATCTCATTGTTGTGAATATTTATTAAGGAATCGATTTTGTATTTTTCCCGTTCAGTGTACATAACAGGCTTCTCCACTCCAGTGTAACGACATCTTAAACCGACTCAACTGTATAAACACTGCCTCCTATCCTGTATATATGTCAACCATACTCTGTACATCACTTGCTTGATAACGCTGTTAGAACCTACACCGACACGTCGCTCCTCAATGTAATAAAAAAGATATTCATCCATATGCCTTATCCTAGTACTCCTAAATGCCTCTCAACGAAGTTTAGTTCTACATGACTTTAACAAGTCGATTGATGAAAATGATAAATAGTGTAGGGCTTAAAATGCCGCCCTGACGGGTACCGATATTACGATCAAAATCATTTAAAGGCTATTCGAAATCCCACCACAAGCAATGAGCTTAGAATACATTGATATAATAATGTTTAGAAATCTACTAGTTACACCAACTTCTTGGAGGCTGTCAAATAAAATATTGTGTTTTAAAGAATCAAATGCTTTGGACAAATCAACAAATACACAATAAAACTTACCTTTTTTACTAGCATACTTCTGGACAATAGCATGTAATAAGAATATATCATCAGTTGTTGAATACTTCACCTATAGCATTATTTGTATCATACCATCCGTGCAGTCTGGTGTACAAAAAATATTTCAAAGCTCATCAACCAGGGAGATACCTCGATACTTGTTGGGGTATCTTTATCACCAGACTTAAAGGGCAAGTTCACACAGAAATGAACCTATTTTTCTTGTACTTTTTCCACATTAAAAGTGTTAACCTAGAAGTGTCATCGACAAAAATATAAACATATCACAATTAATTAACATATGTTTTGCATTAAAACGATTTATATTTTTCACATTTACCAAGTGTTCTATTTTCATAACAAAAACACCATGGCTTATGCCCCTTGCAATATGACGTCATTGGTGCCTATTGATAAACATTATATTATGACGTCATCATGCTATGTTAGAGCCGCTTCACGTGGTGTAGGTACAGCTGTGTGATTCTAGCGTCTCGGATGCCAGCCAGCATAGTTATGCTGAGTCACCACTGCGCCGGAGTGTGTCGCAGGCCATGTTGTTTTACCGAAAACTGGTACTTGATATCTTTTGCGTTGAGAATAGACAGGGATCCAGTTGAATTGGCACCAATTACGTCATAATCTAAGGGGGATAACTCAGGCCTGTTTAGCTCGAAAAACGAAGGCCTCATATCGGCATATCATTTTCACACTATTGTGAGCTTCCTTCTTTCACTGTGAAAAAAATGAGTTTACATTTTCAAACACAGATATTAACTAATTCTAAAATTGCGTTTTGTTTAGAAAAAGAAAGAAAGTGATTTTTGCGTGTACACTTCCCCTTTAAACAAGGGACACATAAGGAACGTGCATCAGTTTCACTGGAGCCACAAGTGCAATGGATGGTCTCCAATTCTCCATTAATTCAAACAGCCATGGAACATTTCCGCAAGGCTGATTTTGATGGAGTTTTTGTGCGTTCCGTGAAACTAAAATCTGCTTGTCGTACTAAGTCAGCTTTGATCTATTGATCAACGCTCAGGCCTCGACATGGGGAATTAGCTTTTGGGAGATAGCCTTGAAACAAGAGAGGAGAGAGCTATGAGGTCCTTAGGGTTTATTCAAGCAAGTGCCAAGGCATATCATTCAAAATAAAATAATTCATATATAATAATGACATGCAATGATAGTGATGATAATAATATCCTGATACAGTTTCAATCTAAGTCTGGGAATAAAAGCAATGTATGTTATATTACAGTATGTACGGTAACTGCGCACCGAGCCATTATACTAAGAGGCAACATTTACTAAAGTAATAACGGTAATGACAAATAACATTTGTTTACAGATAAATTTAGTAATCATAACATTTTAGAGCATGTACGGTAAAACCTGCATGACAATTCCATGTGTGGTATGTCGCGCCCATTTGGGTAACAAACGTAAAGGATTTATGACTATTGTTAACATTAATTTGATAAATGAAAATACATACGTAGAGCATACACGGTAAACTGCACAGAGTGATAAGATGAGGAACATGACATTTAATTCGGAAAATGTCTCTAGTTTGAGTAATAATTTCACAACATAATAATTTGGGGAGATCCGGTAAGTAAATACTTGATCCGAATAAAGAATAAGAATAATATTTAAATGTTTCTTACCTTTTATAGCTAAAATGGATAGAATTATCATAAAAACGCCCGCATGTTATCAGAAATGAGCGGGCCACTGTAACTTGATAATGCCCTCATATTACTTGACGAAGGGCCATTATCACGCCCGTTGTTAGGTGACGTCATAGGATAGGGATATAGTCCGGTAATTAAAGGTTTATTTTTCATGAAGGTTCAACAAAATTGACGGAAAAGGTTTTTTAAGACATTTCACTGCCTTGATAGGTCTACTTTAAAAAAAAAAATAGTTTACCAAAATTTGACTTGGGGAAACACCGAAAATAGGTCAAATCCAAGATGGCCGCCATCAATACAAACGAAAATCGAAAAAGTAAAACAAATAAGAATCAATCAAAATCTAAACATGGATGATGACTATCTATAAACAACTTCATAGGATCAAGACAGGGGAATATATACTTAACAATTTTGAAGTGAAATCTTACACAGAAATAAATTACAGCTGCCCGAAATGTGAAAAAAATGCAATTGTTCCATATCGGACTACAAAATACTTAACACGGGCTTATAAAGAGGGAATAACCCTGCAATACTACAGTTTACAAGTCAAACTTACTATCAATTTAAATGTCTAAAGTTAAAGACAATCTTTATATTCGCACTCATATACTGGACAAGAAGAGACGATTATTCAGTAATGTCAGAGGGGCGGTCGGGTAGCCTAGTGGTTAAAGAGTTCGCTCGTCACGCCGAAGACCCGGGTTCGAATCCCGACATGGGCACAATGTGTTAAGCCCATTTCTGGTGTCCCCCGCCGTGATATTGCTGGAATATTGCTAAGAGCGGCGTAAAACCAAACTCACTCACTCACTCACTCACTCAGTAATGTCAGAAAAGTCCATTTGAACATGTCATCCCTTTGCATTGTCCACATGCTGAGGTACATTGTAGACACATTTTTTCTGCATGAGCATGTGTTTTCATCCACACTTTCCAGTGCAATTGTATCTGATTATTTTCAACAGAAATTTAGGAGTGACAGCTTGGTGCCTTGTGATTGGTTTCAATATAGTGCCCTTGTTGCTCTTGTGAAGCGTCCAGCCCCATTCTGCCGCATCCATATTGTTGCCTAGCCAGGTCTGCACTTGGAGTCAGACTCGTTGGCTGGGCAATCTGGCAGCATCTGATGTCGGTGGAAGGTGTCGAAGGGGTAGGTAATTTGAGCTTGATACATACCTTCTCAGTGAATTTTGTCACACGTTCAGAATTAAAATCCAAGCCAGGCATACAGCCGTAGAGGATTGCAAGTGCCTGATTACCAGCCTGCTCGATTTCTGCATGGTTTCCACCTGTCACCATGAAAACCGTTGAATATTCCGGAGACCATCCCTATGCCATATGTCCTCGATGTTGTGTCGGTCCCTGACAATGCATGTACAAAGAGCAAAGAATGGCTGAGATTAGGATCAAGGATCATCTGTAGGATGAAGATGTCAATGATCTTTGTACTTATCTGAAGAAAGATGGCCTCATGGTATCGGGTCTGAAGTGATATTGCATCAGGATGAGAAGGTCGGTGTCATTCCCTACCACTACCACAGGCTGCGTTTGAGCCAATGTACAGGCAGACATTGCAATGTCATAGTCAGCATATCCAGATGAGTGTTTAATCTGAAAACCCACTTTTTTCGATTTTTGACCCCAACAGAGTGATGAATTTCTGTTTGTTTCTTTCATTTGCCAAAAGGGCTTTTTCTTCATTTTCAGAATCATGTCTGGTGTGAAATCCACTACACTCCAATCTCACTTCCAGTTCTTCTCTGATGGGTCTCATCCTTGGTCGAAAAACACAACAATAACCATCAAACACGATAAGAGCATTGCAGAAGTGGTTCCTCAAGAAATGAGCCCGCACAGCTTGTGACACTGATTTGCCGGACAA